TGTGAAGTAGAGACATAGGTGACTAAGAAATTTGACTGATCAGCCAGTTAAAGTACAAGATTAGCATTGTTTGTAGAAAATATACCACATTCTTATCTCACCTTTGGGAACCACTGCTCTAGCCTAAGTTGTTTGAAGGTGGGAAAGCTTTATTCTGTATTCATAGTAATGTTGGGCAGGGAGAGAGGGCATAATTAAGAGTAGTACTTTATAATTCTGAGGATAAAAGTCTTTGTCATCATACACTGGGTAGTTTCTTCATGGATTACAAAGCTCAGCAGTATGAAGTACATTTTTTAGCACCATATTAAAGAAATATTTATTTTTAACAATTCAAGTAGTGAATACATAGTTTTCAATTTAATCTGTAATAAAACTTTGATGAAACTAAATGTTTTTAGATTTTTGTGTCTTAATTAAAGTTTGGTGTTCTTAGGATCGCCAGGGGAAAAATATTTGGAGTTCAATACTTATTTTTGAAAGTCTTAAATATACCTGTTAGCATGCTTTTCTACCTTGATTTTTTTGAACAAGACAACTCATCGTTCTGTATGTTCTCCTTGTCCAATCTTACATAAACTTAGGACTTATCTTATAAATTTTTAAAAAATTCCTTACCAAATTTCATTTTGTTTTCGTTTCTTCTAGAACAGTGGTCTCAACTGCATGTAGGGATCAACAGAGAGGCTTTTTAAAAATACTTCTATCTAGGAAGTGTCTCCAGAGATTCAGATTTCATTGGTCTGATGATTCTAATGTGTTAGGGCTGAGAAACCAAGGAGGATGTAAAGGAGGAGATTTCTTAATGGTATTTTTGTTGTTGTTCCAGTAAATTGGGATAATTCTGAAAACTATACTTGAGAACCATTTAACACCTGTCTTTCTTTTTTTTTTCTTTCAGATTTATTGCTAAACATGGGTGCATTTTTGGATAAACCCAAAACGGAAAAACATAATGCTCATGGTGCTGGGAATGGTTTACGTTATGGCCTGAGCAGCATGCAAGGATGGAGAGTGGAAATGGAAGATGCACACACAGCTGTTGTAGGTATTCCTCATGGCTTGGAAGACTGGTCATTTTTTGCAGTTTATGATGGTCATGCTGGATCCCGAGTGGCAAATTACTGTTCGTCACATTTATTAGAACACATCACTACTAATGAAGACTTTAGAGGACCTACAAAATCAGGATCTGCTCTTGAGCTTTCAGTGGAGAATGTCAAGAATGGTATCAGAACTGGCTTTTTGAAAATTGACGAATACATGCGTAACTTTTCAGACCTTAGAAATGGGATGGACAGGAGCGGGTCAACTGCAGTGGGAGTTATGATTTCACCTAAGCACATCTACTTCATCAACTGTGGTGATTCACGTGCTGTTCTATGTAGGAATGGACAAGTCTGCTTTTCTACCCAGGATCACAAACCTTGCAACCCAAGGGAAAAAGAGCGAATCCAAAATGCAGGAGGCAGCGTAATGATACAACGTGTTAATGGTTCATTAGCAGTGTCTCGTGCTCTGGGGGACTATGATTACAAGTGTGTTGATGGCAAGGGCCCAACAGAACAACTTGTTTCTCCAGAGCCTGAGGTTTATGAAATTTTAAGAGCAGAAGAGGATGAATTTATCATCTTGGCTTGTGATGGGATCTGGGATGTTATGAGTAATGAGGAGCTGTGTGAATTTGTTAAATCTAGACTTGAGGTATCTGATGACCTGGAAAATGTGTGCAATTGGGTAGTGGACACTTGTTTACATAAGGTATGTAAGTTTTTTTGTCATAATTAAAATACCATATTAATTTTGAAAAAGCATGGTGAGTGAGATTAAGCAAACTTAAATTTTTAAAACTTCAGATATTTTCATAGAGAAGACCTGTGTATTTTAAAATCTTCACTAGAAGTTACTGGGTTTAAAATTAATGTATTTCTCATTGGACTGCAAATGAAGTGATTATGACTTACAGCTTTTTGAGATGAAATCAGGGATATGTTTTTGGCCTGACCAGCAAATGAAAACAGTATTTTCATTTGGGAAGTATTTCAGCTTTGGGAAGCTGAGGTGGGAGGATTTAAGGTCAGGAGTACAAGACCAGCCTGAGCAAAAGAGCAAGATGCCAACTCTACAAAAAATAGAAAAAATTAGCTAGGCAGGTTGGCATATACCTACATTCCCAACTACTTAGGAGACTGAGGCAGGAGGATCTCTGGAGCCCAGGAGTTTGACATTGCAGTGTGCTAGGATGACACCACTGCACTCTAGCCAGGGGTAACAGAGAGGATGTCTCCAAAAGAAAAAAAAATATTTTTCCTTCAATTATAAACAAATAATATATGCTTCTTATTGAAAATAAATCCTGATAATACAAAAAATATAAACACTCAAAATTTTACCATCCATCTAAGTCATCTTTGTTCATTCTGGTGTCTATCTAGTCTTTCCTGCCTGTCTGCAAGTATATATTTTTTTATAAAAATGAGATCAATATATTATAGAGATATTTCTGTGTACACAAGTATTGATCTGCATTGTTTTTCATGGCTGCATAGCATTCTCAAATAACATGAAGGAATAGCCAAAAATCTATTAGGTCTGTAATTTGGAAGAAGAAAAGAAGTTTATATAGTCGATATAGTATGCTAGTTTTCTGAAGTTTTGACTCTGCCGTTCTGAATGAGATTTAAGGGGTTCTAGTGGTCCATCTCCACTTGATAACTATCATTGAAAGTGATAAAAATGTTCATTCTCAGAAATGAGGAGTGATAGTAACAGACAAGTAGTTGTGTCTACATTTAATTTAATAGAAGGTGAACATGATAGTTCCTTTGAATGGCGCTTTATCCAAATTGAAATTAGTTTGGAGGTTTGGGTCGAAACATAACAGACTTAAAGATTTTTTTTATTTTTTTTTTTTGAGACAGAGCCTCAAGCTGTCACCCTGGGTAGAGTTCTGTGGGATCACAGCTCACAGCAGCCTCCAACTCCTGGGCTCAAGTGAGTCTTCTTCCTCTGCCTCCCAAGTAGCTGGGACTACAGGCACCTGCCACAACGACTGGCTATTTTTTGGTTGCAGCTATCATTGCTGTTTGGCGGGCCCGGGCTGTATTCGAACCCGCCAGCTCAGGTGTATGTGGCTAGCGCCTTAGCTGCTTGAGCCACAGGCACCAAGAGAGTTACATAAGGAAAACTCCATTTCTGCTTTTTAACGTTATAATTTTGTCATTCTACTTGTTTGTTTTGTAAAACCAAGGGTTAGCAATATTATAAAATAGAATACAATTACTTTGAAATTACTCAGAAATATTGAATATAAATTTAGTAATTCATAAAAAGCATTTAGTGATTGCTTAGTAGGTGTTAGTTTTATGGTTTAAGAGGAGAGACAGAGATCCAATTATTAAGTAGCTGTTTCCTTGATAAGAGATTTAAATGAAGTCTTAATATTTTCTAATACTTCTGTTATTTACTGTCCTACTTCATCTTGTATTGCTATAAAGGAATACCTGAGGCTGGGTAATTTATAAAGAAAAGAGATTTATTTGGCTACAGTTCTGCAGGCTTTACTGAAGCTTAGTGCTAGCATCTGCTTCTGGTGAGGGCTTCAGAAAGTTTCTAATCAAAGGGGAAAGGGAATGGGATGGGGATGTCACATTTCTTGAGAGAGAGCAAAGGGGCAGGTAGGTGCTAGGCTCTTCTAAATAACCAGCTTTCATGTAAACTAATAGAGCTTATTAATATTCAATACTGTGGTGCTCGCTTCGGCAGCACATATACTAAAATTGGAACGATACAGAGAAGATTAGCATGGCCCCTGCGCAAGGATGACACGCAAATTCGTGAAGCGTTCCATATTTTTCCGCCCACCTGCCTTGTGAGATGGAATTGTAATAAACCACTCCATGAAGAAAAAAATATATATATATATTCAATACTGTGGGGAGGGCACCAAGCCATTCGTGAGGGATTTGCCCCCATGACCCAAACATGTCCCACCAGGCCCCACATCCAACATTGGGATCAAATTTCAACATGAGATCTGAGAGGGCAGATATCCAAGCTGTATCACTTGTGTCATTCCTTAGTAATTTATATATACATATTTTCAGCCTTTTGATATTCAATAGAGCCTTAATAATTTATAAACACTTTTATGTTAACTCATAAAATCTTGAGAGGTTGTGAAAATCTTCACAATCAGAATCACAATAGTGTTAGTAAATTATTGCTTTCTGTGAACTAAATGCTTTTTAAAGCACTTTACACAGTTTAACTCATTTAATTTTCACAACCATGTAAGGTAATTAGCATCATTGTTAATGGTAAGTATTTTTCAGGGTTGCCATTTAATAATAATAAGCTATAAGTGTTGGGTAACTCTGGTCAGGTATTATCCTATTTAAACAAGATATTTAACTATAGGAGAATGGGCCCTGTGAAAGCCGCCTTCCCTTTTTATTGCCAGTGTTAGTGTTCATGGTCTTTACCTGCCAACTAATTTTAGGTTGCATAGAATATATAACTGTTATTTTGCGTAGCCTTTTTCACAACTTATAAATCATCTATATTGTTAACCCTCACAGTACCCTGAGGTGAACAAAAGAAAAAATTTTATTTTTAATTTACAAATAAGGAAATGGAGGTTGTTTGACATTAAAAGGTAATTGAAACTGATTCTAGAATTCAGGTTTAATATTTTTGTTAGCAGTGTATCCCAGAAAGGGCTAATAATCGTGTATGTGTGTTTTGATTCTTTTGGTCTGAAAAATTTTCCCCAAGGGAAAACATTAAGACTTTCCATTTTTCCCCCAATTATTACAAAATACATATATTTACATTTAACATACAAAGATATTTGAAATAATTTATGTTTCTTCAGGCTCATCTTCCTTAGATAACCACTGTTTACGGTTTACTGTATATCCTTCCTGATGGTTCTCTGTGTTTATTGCACAAATGCATAAAAACAGTATTTTTGCTGGGTAGAGTGGCTCATTCCTGTAATGTTAGCACTTTGAGAGGCCAAGGTGAGAGGAGGGCTTGAGGCCAGGAGTTTGAGACTAGCCTGGGCAACATAGTGAGAACTAAAAAAAAAACACCTTAGCCCAGGATGGTGGTGTACACCTATAGCCCTAGCTACTTGGGAGGCTGAGGCAGAAGGATCACTTGAGCCCAAGAGTTTGTGGTTGCTAGTGAACTATGATTGTGATGCTGTACTCAATCTTCAGTAACAGAGCTAGATATCTCAAAAAAAAAAAAAAAGAATCTTTCATTTACTATTTTACAGAAATAGTAAATGTATATTACTATTGCCACCTGCTTTACTTTTTCTTAAATCACAAAAGTTGGTATTTTTTAAAATCATTCTTTTAAAATATTACTTGATTTCCCTAAATTCCATTTATATACTACCTATCAGAAGCCTTTTTATTTGAAAACATGATGTAGTCCCTGATAGTTGGATAAATTTGAGGGAAATTACTTACTTTCCGAAGGCAATACTGTGTTAGTTATACCACATGGAAAATGTGTATACTGTCACCCCCACAGAACTTTGTAGTTCTAAAGTCAGAACTCTTTCCATTATAGTTTTCAGAAAATCATAAATAATGCAAAAGCAGACATAGACAATATCAGGGTGGGTGTGATTGGGTATTTTGAGGTATAGAGAAGGGCTCAGTGTAAAAGCACAATATATATAAAAGCAATATTGTTTAGTGTAGAAATTTCCATACTTTCCCTAATATCTTAGTAATTTTTCCATAATACTACTGAGTGAAAGTTAATACTTAACAGCTCTAAGTATTAGTTGATTAGATCTAAACTTAAAATAAATCAGTCTATATGTCCTCACAAAATAATACATATACATTGAAAAAGTGTTTCTTTTTTCACTTGATTTTTTAAAAAAAAATTCATAGTTACTAATGATATGTATGTATCTGCTAGATACTGCAGTTCTCAAATCTTAGAATCATTAGACATTGCCATCCTCATTTCCTGTATCATATTGATTTTTATGGGAACTTGCTTTTTATCACAGCAACCCCCAGAACCCCAGCTTTGCAAAAGTAAGATTTCATTGAGAGGAAGTTAGCATTATTTACTATTAATAGTGTAAACGTCAAGCTGGTTTATGGGATGTAATCACTGTGTTTCTCCCTCATTTAAAATATGTCTGGTGAGGACACTGTAGAAACTTGAGGCTTTTTGGTATGCTGTTTGGGAACCAGAAATTTAGTGTTAAAGAATGTTTGCTTTGGAGCCGTTGTTAAGTTAGCTATGTCACTTAGTATATTAGGTCTCAGTTTCTTCATCTTTATAAAAGAAAAATTAAAACACCTTCTTCATGGGGTTGTTGAGAGTAAACTCTTGGCAAGTGCCTGGATAGTATAAATAATAAATTTTAGTTCTGTTGATGATGGGTTATGAAACAAAGAGTTAAATTTGTATAGAGAAAAAATTGATTCAAGAATAAAGTAATAGTGGGTGCAATGATTATTCTTGAATGGAAGTAATCATAGGCTTCAGTTTTCATGGATAAGTGAAAATTTAGTTTGTTCCTTCAGCTTGGCTGATTTTTGAACTATATGTAAATAACTATAGGAATGCCAGTGATATTAAAATTGAGTATTGATAGTTTATTTGTCAGATATTAATTTCATAACCTTGGCAAGGATAGAGATTCTGTTCAGGACACTTTTTTGTAACCATATAAAGTTTAGCTTTGAAACTAAGGGCATCAAATTTTCTTTTTAAATTTAGGTACCCTTGCTAGGCACAGTGGCATGTAGTCCCAACTACTTGAGAGACAGAGATGAGGAAGGATCACTTGAGCCCAGAAGTTTGAGTACAGCCATGGGCAACACAGTGAGGCCCTGTTTCTCAAAATTAATTAATTTAATAAAATAAAGGGGGAAAAATCTGGCTTCTTTGACCTATTACTATCTTTAAGAACTGTAATTCATGAGAGTGTTGCTGCTCTGCTGTTAAACAGGTAAAATGGTAATGAAATAATCAATTTTACTTTTATTTTTAGTTTTTGGAAATAGGGTCTAAGTACCCAGACTGCAGTACCCTGGTGGCATAGTTGTAGCTCACGGTGACCTCAAACTCCTACTGCAGCAGCCCGCCCACTGCAGCCTCCTAAGTTGGTGGGCTATGCACTACCATGCCTGGCTAATTTTAAAAAACGGTTTTATTAAAAAGATCTCAGCTTTTGTTGGTGCCCATAGCTCAGAGGGTAGGGCAACGACTACATACACCGAGGCTGGCAGTTCGAACCTGGCTAGGGCCAGCTAAAACAACAATGACAACTGCAACAACAACAACAACAACAAATACCTGGGTGTTTGTGGGTGGGTGCCTGTAGTCCCAGGTACTTCAGAAGCTGAGGCAAGAGAATTGCTTTGAGCCCAAGAGTTTGAGGTTGCTATGAGCTGTGATCATAACAGCACTCTCTACTGAGAGCCATAGCTTGAGACTCTGTCTTAAAAAAAAAGAAAGATCTCCGCTTTGTTGGCCACCCTGATCTTTAACCCCTGGCCTTTTTTCTTGTTTTTTTTTTTTT